GCTGCTGTACACGGCTAAGCAACCCTTTTATACCCTTCGACATTAACCTAGGGTATTAGGGAAATTACAATGTAATCCCAAAACAAGTAAAACGGACAGCAAGGTCCAATACTCCCCCTCAAGCTGGAGAGTGAAGGTTACAAACTCCCAGCTTGGACAAAAGATGATGGAACTGTTCCGTGCCCAGAGCCTTGGTAAACAAATCGGCCAACTGAGAGTTAGTATGAACCTTCTGCGGCTGAATCTCGGCGGACTGCACACGCTCACGCACAAAATAGCAATCCATCTCAACGTGCTTGGTGCGTTCGTGGAAGACCGGGTTAGCTGCGATATGGAGAGCAGCCTGATTGTCGCAGTAGAGAACCGTGGGAGCTGACTGAGCAACGCGGAGTTCACCAAGTAGGAAGCGAAGCCATAGAACTTCGCTCGTAGCGCTGGCCATGGCGCGATATTCAGCTTCGGCAGAGGACCGAGCAACCACGCGTTGCTTCTTTGCACGCCAGGAAATGGGAGCACCACCTAACTGTATGTAGTACCCCGTCATGGAACGACGGGTTGACTGGCAACCAGCCCAATCCGCATCACAGTAAGCCGTCAACGTCAGGGAGCCAGAGGACGGCAAGAAGAGCCCCTGTCCTGGTGCAGCTTTGAGGTAACGGAGAACTCTATGTGCCGCCGCCATGTGATCAGGACTGGGAGCGTGCACAAACTGACTCAGAATGCTGACGGAGTAGGCGATATCCGGGCGAGTGATGGTCAGGTAGAGAAGGCGACCAACAAGGCGCCGGTATGCACTGACATCATCAGCCCGCTCATCAGTAGGTCTCGTAAGAGTGTGGTTTTGCTCCATGGGAAAGCCACTGGGGCGAGCTGCACTGAACCCGGCGTCAGCCAAGATGTCTAATGTGTACTTCCGCTGGCAAAGAACAATCCCTTCAGGCGATCGCGCAACTTCGATACCTAAGAAATACTTGAGAGGTCCTAGGTCCTTGATGCTGAAACGATCATGGAGGAAAGTCTTCACACGGGAGATGCAGTCCTCATTGTCACCAGTGAGCACAACATCATCAACATAGATGAGCACGACCACATATATCCCAGGCTTCTCATAAATGAACATGGAATGATCAGCCCGAGAAATCGTGAAGCCAAACTCGAGAAGAGCAGTGGTGAACTTAGTGTACCAATTACGGGAGGCTTGGCGGAGCCCGTATAGTGACTTGCGCAGGCGACACACTCTGTTATCGCCAGGCTGAGCAAATCCCTGGGGGACCTTCATATATACTTCCTCATCCAACTCTCCGTGAAGGAAAGCATTGTTGACGTCAAGCTGATGAAGTGACCATCCCTTCTGAGCCGCCACAGCAAGAAGTACCCGAACAGTAACCAGTTTGGCCACTGGGGCAAACGTGTCGTGGAAGTCAACCCCCTCCAACTGTGTGAAGCCCTTGGCCACAAGACGAGCTTTATAGCGCTCAACGGTGCCATCGGGTTTGTACTTGATCTTGTAGACCCACTTGGAGTCTATGGCATGCTTCCCTGGCGGCAATACCTCGAGCGTCCAGGTGCCATTGGCCTCCAAAGCTGCAATCTCGCGTTGCATGGCCTCGCGCCAGTGCTGGTAACGAGCGGCTTGTGAGAAATGGCGAGGCTCCACGTACGATGCCATTGCAGCCAAAAAATCACAATAGTTAGCCGAAAAACGTTGATAACCAACATAATTGGAAATTGGAAATTGAACGGCGTGCGACGAAGAGGAACTAGGCAGCTGTACCTCGTAGGGTGCAAGATAGCTCGGAGGATGCCGGTTCCGATCAGGGTTACGTCGAGGTGGCGCAGGTGGCGGGGACGCAGATTGCTCGACATCACCATCGAGACTGGAACCCGAGGCTGGGGAATGAGAGCCGGGCGCGTTCTCGGTGGCGCCAAGCACCGCGGAGGGTGGCTGCTCCTCGTTGTCGGGAGCATCGGCGTCCAAGGCTGCATCGGCGTCCAGAGCTGCGTCGTCGGGAGGTGTGAGGTCCAAGGCCACATTATCAAAATCATCGGCATCAACAGCAAGAAGCTCCCCCTCGGCACGAGCTGGCTGCATGTGTTGCATGGCTATGTCATGCACGTCCACTTGGTAAGGGAGAGGGGAGGGAATGGTTGGTGTCGAGACTTCAAAAATGGAGCTGCTCAATTGCTGATCACGAAAAGGAAAATTGCTCTCAACAAAGTGAACATCACGGGAAACAACGACCTTTCGTGCTTGCAAGTCAAAAATTCGGTAACCCTTTTGATTACCGGGATATCCAAGGAAGATCCCCGCTCTCCCCCTGTCGGCAAACTTGTCGAGACCATGGTGATTGTCTTTTGCATACGCCAGGCAGCCAAAGCTACGCAAATGGTCATAGGTGGGAGGGCGTCCAAGAAGAAGCTCAAAAGCGGACGGGTAACCCGGCATGGAACATAAGAGCACGAGCGGTCTCCAAGAGGTGACGATGCTTACGTTCTACAACCCCATTTTGCTGGGGAGTGTCCGTACAAGAGGTCTGCAGGACGATACCCTTCTCTTCATAGTACCTGCGAAGAGAGCCGGTTTGGAACTCAACACCATTATCTGCTTGTAATCGTCGCACCGTTCGACCATATTGTGTGGTTGCTAGCTCGCAGTGCATCCGGAGATAGCGTTCAGCATCTGACTTGAATTTCATAAGATAAACCCAGGTCGAACGACTATAATCGTCTACTATAGTCAAGAAGAACCGCGAGCCATCAAGTGCAGGAGTCCGATATGGCCCCCATATGTCAAGATGTAAAAGGTCAAAACAAGAAGAAGTCTTGATAGAACTGTGAGGAAAAGGAGTGCGTGTCTGTTTAGCACGTAAACAAGAATCACAATGCCGAGAATCCAAAGGACTACTAACAAAATCCTTGAGCAAAACAAGTCTATCAAAGGAGAGGTGCCCCAGACTGGCATGCCATAAATTGGCACTACTGGTCCCAGCGACGGTCTTGCAAGCTTGGGGAGAGATACCACCCGAAAAACGCCGCAAGTAATAGAGCCCGTCGCGCAATCTACCGATGCCAATCAGCGTCCTGGAAGGTAAGGCCTGAAGCACGCAAAAATCATGAATGAATGTGATGGTAACATTATGATCACGTGCCAGACGACTGACTGAAAGCAGATTACACTTGAAACCCGGCACATGCAGTACACGAGATAAAGTGATAGAATCTGAGAACCGTACTGAACCGATCCCTCGAACTGGAATGCCCGTACCATCGGGAATCTGAACTTTAGACGACCCAGATAAAGGTGTGATAGAATCCAACCAACGAGCATCACGAACTATATGTTCGTTGCACCCTGAATCTATTAACCACTCAGAAAGATCAGGATGATTACCCGCCATATGTGCAGTGGACTCCGAAGCTGTCTCAGGTGTGGAGGAGGACAAGAACTGCTTCAGCTGCATGAACTGTGCCGCCGTTAAACCTGGGATCGGACTCCCATCTGCTGGATCAGGCTCGACGTGCGCTGCATGTGGCTTGCGCAAGTTGGACTTGGGCCTGTCTTCTCCTTGCTTTGCACGAGGGTGACCAGGAGGGAACCCCACGAGACGGTAGCATGTCTCGCGCGTGTGGCCAAGCTTGTTGCAGTGCGTGCAGCGAGGCTTATCTACGTCCTCCTTCTGCCCCTTGTCGGCCTGGACCTGAAACGCAGCGGTTTCCACAGCTGGTCGCCGTCCATTAGTGAGCAAGCGGTGTTGTTCTTCAGCCGCCACTACCTGATACGCCTCATTGAGAGTGGGAATGGGTTTGGTGCTGAGAATTTGGGAACGAACTACTGCATATCCCTCGTCCAAGCCAAGGAGAAACTCAAACAGCCGCTCCGTCTCTTGCTTTGCATGGTTCTGGGCGAGCAGGTCGCAGCTACAACCCCCACAAGTACAGCCGCTACATACACAGCGCGGCAGCCCCCCGACAGCGTCCATCTCGTCCCAATACCCACGGAGTTTGGTATAGAAGGCAGAGACCGACAATTTCTCTTGGCGGAGTGAGCTTATTGTGCGACGAAGCTCATACGCACGTTGTGCTGACCCGCGGCTAAACCTCTTTTGGAGGTCGACCCAAATGGCGCGAGCCGTAGTGGCCATTCGAACGCTGTTTCGAACCTCTCGTGTCATCGCCGTCTTCAACCAACCTTTGACGGTAGCATCACACCTGTCCCAGGCTTCTTGACGACGCGGACTCCCTGCCTTGGTACGCGGCAGCGAACCATCAACAAAAGCCATCTTATTTTTGGCTACGAGCGTTTCGGTGAGATCGTTGACCCATTCGCCGTAGTTCGAATCATTCAGCAAGTCACTGCCGAAGAGTTGTGCAGGGTTCTCGGATGGATGTAGATAGAGAGGAGAACTGATTGGAATGACTTCGTCGGCGCTACTGTCGCCGGCCGATTTGCCGCCAATGGTTTCCTCGTCCTTAGCCATGATGAAGAAACCCTAATCGCTGAATCTTATTGCTCTGATACCATGTAAAATAGTGGAAGTGCGGAATGAAAATAGACACACGATTTACGTGGTATCCCCGAAAACCGGGACTAATCCACGGAGAGCAAAGCTCTCATGCTGAAGATTTTACTATGTAGTGAGGAAGATGATCGTAAACCCTATGTCATGGCTGCTGTACACGGCTAAGCAACCCTTTTATACCCTTCGACATTAACCTAGGGTATTAGGGAAATTACAATGTAATCCCAAAACAAGTAAAACGGACAGCAAGGTCCAATACCATACAATCTTTCACTTGTATAAACAAAACCAAATCAAACAAAACCAAACAAACCAAACCAAATCAAACCAAACCAAACAAACCAAACCAATCCAAAATCATACTCCCACGTAATACGGATCTTACAGTACGTACATATAGTAATATAGTATATAATATTTCTCTCTCACATAACAATCATCGATTGATTCATAGCTAGAACCGTCTGAAAATATATATCATCATATATTCTTTTCTCTCCCTCTTAGGGAAAAGACAAGGTTCGACCAGAAAAAAGATAAAGGCAAGCACTCCCACATTCTTGCACGTCGGTACGTGTCGCGCAGATTCTCTGGGCCCCACCTTCCGCCGCCTTGAGCTTTAGCGACGACCCGCTGGTGGTTCAACTCGAGTTCCCTAGCCACCTGCGCCAGCGCGCTGTACGACGAGCCCTTCAACTTCCGGCTCAACGCCCTCTCGCCGCTCTCCTTCAACCCCGCCACCCTCTCCCTGATCGCCTTCCCTTCTTCTTCTTCCTCCTCCGCCACCATCACCCTCCTCACCAACTTCTCGATCTCCTCCCTCCTCACCATGCTGCCGGCGCTGTCGCTCTCCGGCCGCACCGCCACCTGGAGCTCATCCGTCAGCAGGGCGGCGTTCAGCTTCTGCTCGGCGTAGAGCGGCCACGCCACCATCGGCACCCCGTTCGTGATGCTCTCCAGCGTCGAGTTCCACCCGCAGTGCGACAAGAACCCGCTCACCGCGGGATGAGCCAGGATCTCCGCCTGTGGTGCCCACATGGGTACCACGAGTCCCCTGTCCCGCGTACGGGACAGGAACCCCTCTGGGAGATACCCGTGGTGGGGCCCTCCCTGGGATCCGTTTCCCAGGGAGAAGAAAGTGGCGGAAACGTCGTCGTCCTCAACTGGAGGAGGGCGGACCACCCACACGAATCGCTGCCCGCTGAGCTCAAGCCCCCACGCCAGCTCGACTAGCTGGGCAAGCGGGAGGGTCCCGCCGCTCCCGAACGACACGTAGATGACGGACCGGTCGGGCTGCTGGTCGAGCCACAGCACGGCGTCGTTTGGCTCGGTGGTCTCGAGCGGAGGCGACGGTCGGACCAGCGGTCCGACCGGGTAGACCGGGGCCCTGACCAGGTCTTTCATGGCCTTCCGGTCCCGGAGCGCGTCGAGGGTCTTCCCCTCCATCTCTTCCCACGTGTTCACCAGGATGCCGTCAGCCGTCGTGAACTCGGCCCCGACGCGCTGGAAGTCGCGGTAGACACGGTCCCCGATCGCGTGGTACGAGTCGAGCGTGTCGTCGAACCGGACCGGTCTGCACCCGGGGACCTCGAGCGGGGTTTTCGAGCCGATGTGGCGCGCCACCGCGTCCTCGGCGGAGGAGCCGTAGACGGCGGTGGCGAGGAACCAGGCGGTGGTGGTGTCGAATGCGTACTTGAGCATGCCGAGCTCGTCGGCGAGGGGGAAGACGCCCGTGCCGAAGATGTCAACGACGAGGGCGGTGGGCGGGGTGGGCATGGCGGAGATTGCGGAGCGGAGGTTGGGGATGGAGTGGCGCATCATGGCGAGGAGCTTGGTGACGATGTGGTCGGAGGGCTCGACGTGGCCGGAGACGTCGACGGCCGGGAGGGGGACGATGGAGAGGTTGGTGATGGTTGCGGGGCAGGATTTGAGGAGGGAGTCGGTGGTGGCGGCGTCGGTGGCGACGACGAAGATGGTGACGTGGATGTCGTGGTGGGTGACGAGGCGTTTCCCGAGCTCCAGGACCGGGATGAGGTGGCCCATCCCGGGGCTCGCCAGAAGAGCGGCGTGAGGCCTGTTGCCGGCGGCATGCATGTTTTCTATATTTAATTTGGAAGGTGAATTGGTGGGCAATATTGGAGGTGTGCTTTGTAGCGGTTGATGATTGATTGGTATTTATAGCAGAGAGAGTGGTGTCCCACAATTTGGTCAGTTGAGTTATTATCACTTTTGCCCTTTTTTGGCAAGGAAGTGTCCATTATGAATAACAATTTATATTCATCATGTGCTGCACCTCTTTCTCTCAGCGCCTTAACCTCGTCCCGCACTCGCAATTACCACCACGTAGACAGAGGATGTCTTCCAAACCAGCTTAATTCGTCGATGACGAGCTCGTCCCATTCTCGCTCATCCCAAAATCCAGCAGTAAGATCTACTCAGGCTCTTGAAGATTAATGCTTGATGCTTCGCTGCCTCTGCTAGTTTTCTGAATTGCTTCTCTTATTACTGAATCAATCGAAGGAAAAACGTAATGAATCCAGAATGAAGAGCTGGATTTATAGTATAGACTACAGGAGGGAAAGACCGTTATGGTCATAGCAACCTTGACTATTTTACATTTTACTACCTATACTTATCCTAGTTACAATAAACCTATCTATCTTTACAATCTTAACCTATATCATCTAATACCCCCCCGCAAGCTAAACGTGGATTGAATTCAAGTTTAGCTTGGAAATGAGGTCGACAAAAGTATGGACTGGAAGAGCTTTTGTAAAAGGGTCTGCCAGCTGCAAAGTGGTTGAAATATGCTGGACCTTCAGTTTGTTTGCAAGAACCTGGTCACGAGTGAAGTGACAGTCGACTTCAATATGTTTGGTTCTTTCGTGCTGAATTGGATTCTCTGTCATCTTGACTGTAGATTGGTTGTCGCAGTAAATGGTGTAAGGCTGCTGAGGTTGAACTGGAAGCTGCTTGAACAGGGCTGTCATCCACTGCAATTCCTGAGCTGTATCTGCCAAGGCTCTGTACTCTGCTTCTGTTGAGGAGCGTGAGATGGTTTGTTGCTTTTTAGAACGCCAGCTGACCAGGGAGTTACCTAAGAAGACACAAAAACCAGTTACTGAACGGCGTGTGTCAGGGCAACCAGCCCAATCAGAGTCAGAAAATGCTGAAAGACGAGTGGAAGAGTTGCTGAGGAAAAATAAACCACGAGCTGGGGTTGTTTTTAAGTATCTGAGGAGTCTATGTGTGGCCTGTTCATGAACTGTGGTGGGGGCATCCACAAATTGGCTAAGTTGATTCACAGTATAGCATATGTCTGGTCGAGTAGTGCACAAGTACTGTAATCTACCAATTAATTGCCTGTAACTGCTATGAGCAGACTCATCTAATAATGTACCCTCAGAAGCAGAAAGATGGGTAGCTGGAATAGAGGGAGTGGTAGTAGGTTTAGCAGCCAAAAAACCTGTATCAGATAGGAGATCAAGGGTATATTTTCGTTGGCATAAATGTAAACCACTTTCAGACCTTGAAACTTCCATACCAAGGAAATATTTGAGTTTGCCAAGATCTTTGATTGTAAATGCAACATCAAGTTGCTGTTTAACATGATTAATTTCAGTCATATCATTACCAGTTAGAATGATATCATCAACGTAAACTAATAGAGCAGTAAAAGAGGTGCCAGAATATTTTGTGAACAAGGAATAGTCACTGTGTGATTTCTGGTACCCAAGGGATTCTAAAGTTGTAGCAAGTTTAGCAAACCATTGACGACTGGCCTGCTTAAGACCATACAAAGATTTGGTAAGTTTGCAGACTTTGTTTTTGTCTGAAGGGGAAACTGGTAAACCTGGTGGTAGTTTCATATAGACATCTTCATTAAGATCTCCATGAAGAAAAGCTATGTTTACATCAAGTTGTTCAAGATGCCAGTTATATGTGGAAGCTAAAGCCAAAAGAATTCGAACTGTTGTCATTTTAACTACTGGAGAGAAGGTATCCAGATAGTCAACACCAGGGGTTTGAGTGTAGCCTTTGGCTACTAACCTGGCCTTGTACTTGTCAATGGAGCCATCTTGTTTGAATTTTAATCTGAACACCCATTTATTTCCTATAATGGGAACATTAGGTGGAGGATCAACTAAAACCCAAGTTTTTGTTTTGGCAAGAGAAGAAAACTCAGAATTGACAGCATCGAGCCATTCTTTAGACTTTGCTGCTTCTTTATATGTTTTTGGTTCTCTGACCTGAGTAATTGCTAAAGCAAAATGTCTGTGAGAAGGGCTTAAAGAGCTGTATGTTAACTGGTTATGGATAGGATATTTAGCAGAAGTGAGTAAACTAGATTGACTGATCAGATTACATTTGTAATCTTTGAGTCTTGCTGGTGGAGCAATGTGCCTAGTTGATCTTCTTAGTGGAGGAACAACAGGATTTGTTGGTGGAGGAGAAGAAGATGTAGAAGGTACATCAGGAGCAGGACAAGTATCAGGAGATACTGGAATGGATGGAATAGGTGATGGATGAGAGCAAGCTGTGTGCGCTTTGCTAAATTCCAGGTCTGGAGATACAGTTGGAAAAACTGGAAGAATGACAGGAGGATGGATGTTCTGGTGGGATGAACTAAATGGAAAGATTGTTTCATAAAAGGAAACATCTCTGGATATGAAGAGATTATGTGTATGAAGATTATATAGCCTGAACCCTTTAGTACCATGAGGGTGACCTAGGAACACACATGGATTAGACCTAGGGTCCAGTTTTGTGCGTGTGGCTTGAATAGTAGCAGCATGAGTGAGACATCCAAAAACCCTCAGATGGTCTAATGTAGGTGGGGAATCATATAACTTCTCAAAGGGAGTGAGATTATTTAAAAGAGAGGAAGGTGTTCTGTTAATCAAATGAATAGCATGCATAGCTGCAAAATTCCAGAATTGTTTTGGCAGAGAAGCTTGAAACAGCAAAGCTCTGGTGACAGCAAGTATATGTTGGTGCTTACGTTCAACTATACCATTCTGCTGTGATGTGTATACACAAGTGGTTTGGTGAATGGTTCCTTTGGAGCTATAAAAATCTGGAATTTGGAATTCAAGACCATTGTCAGTTCTAATTATCTTGATTCTGCTGTTGAACTGAGTTTCAACAAAGGAAAAGAAAGACATGATAACAGGTATGGCTTTAGACTTGGACTTCATTGTAAAGATCCATGTATGCCTACTGAAGTCATCTACTATAGTCAGGAAATAAGCATGACCCTGTAAAGATTTGACAGGTGCATTTCCCCAAATATCAACATGAATTATGTCAAAAGGAGCTTTTGTGTGACTAGTGCTAGAAGAAAATGGAAGTCTCTTTTGTTTGGCTGAAGGACAAACCATACAATGAAAGTCTGAAGAAGCAGAGAAAGTACTATCAAGACATTGAAGATACTTAGTCTTGGAAGTAGGTACATGACCAAGTCTATAATGCCATACATCAATAGAAGGTTTAGAACTGGAAAAAGCTACTGATGGTAAAGCAGCTTGGTTAATGTTGAGTTTTAGACCATGTTGAAGCTGGGCAGTTTGAGAGGGATGATGGAGAATGTATAGGCCATCAAGGAGACTAGCTGTTCCAATCATTGTCAAACTGGGGTAGGCCTGTATGAAGCAGAGAGAGTAATGGAACCATAAGCAAATGGTAGAACTCCTAACTAGTATGCTAACAGAAACCAGGTTGAAGCTGAATGTTGGAACATACAAAACATCATAGAGAATAAGGTGTTCTGAGTACTTAACAGTTCCTATGGCTTCTACAGCAACCTTGCTACCATTAGGCATATGCACAAATGTATCCTTAATAGGTTTATAATGATGGAAATGTGCCAAGGAGCAGATAATATGATATGTGGCTCCTGTGTCCAGAATCCACTTGTTCTGAAGATGGCAATTAACATTAAGTGCATAATGAGTGGTACCTGAAGGTTCAGTAGTGGGACACACATGGGAAGCAACAGAATTGGCTCTGTTGACTGTGTTGTGATGTCCTGATCCTTCACTCTCATGGGAAGCTGAGTAGTGTGGAGGATTGTTGGCAGTGTATGCCTCATGGAAAGCACCTGGTGATGGGAAACTCTGCTGTGTAGGAGCAGTAGGCTGTGGAACCTGATGCTGATATGCTTGCTGTTGTGAATAAGGATTCATAATGCTCAGCATCTTCTGATATTGCTGTTGGAAAGTCTGCCAATCAGACTGATTGATAACTACTGTTCCAGCAGAGGATGACCCAGGATCAGCAGAAACACTATTAGCTTGCCTAGTTGGCTGTTTCTTCTTGGACTGATAACCAGGAGGGTATCCATTCTTCTTGTAGCAAATATCTTCAGTATGTCCAGTATACCCACAGAACGTGCAAACTGGCTTCTTTCCCTGTTTCTTAAACCCTTGACCAGCACCTTGAACACCCAAATTTTGCCCTGAAGCTTTGGTAAAGAAAGCCATGCTTTCTGAAGCAGGGTTGGGGTTAGGCTGGGGTTTAGGAAGTAAACCATTCTCCCTTTCGTGTTGCACCATCAAAGCAAACACCTTGTTTATAGGGGGTAAGGGATCTAAAAGCATAACCGTGGATCTTGGACCATTAAAGCTATCATTCAGATTATGCAAGAACCTAATAACCTTGTCATTCATGTAATCTTTGCGTAGAGAAGCTAGCACACAATGGCAAGAGATTCCACAATCACAATCAGGAATGAATCTGTAATTCGCTAACTGATCCCACAACGCGCGTTGCTTAGAATAGTACTGAGAAACACTCATAGTACATTGCTTGAGGTTGAAGATGGCCTCTTGAAGATCAGCAATGCGGAAAGAATCACCCTGCGAGAACTGTTCACGCAGCTCAGACCAAGCACCAATGGCAGTGGTGACATACAGAATACTCTCTGCAATGGTAGGATTGACAGATCTCTGAATCCAGCTGAGGAGCAGTTTGTTGTTCCGATTCCAAGACTCGAAGAGAGGAGAATCGTCATTTGGCTGCGGGATTTTGCCATTCAAGAACCCTAATTTGTTCTTGCCATCGATAACAAGAATCATCGAGCGTTCCCAGCTGGA